CGCACACGACAATATTTGCAATGCAATACACTATAATTATTAATTACCACACTGCATACTTCTTTATCCTTCTAATTCTAAAGACCTCGGAGCATGCTGAAAATAATTTTGTTGCGTTTTTTGTTTCGTCAGTTCGAAACACAGTCAAAATGTAGATATAGAAGCGAAGTGAGGAAGGGAAAGAGGCAAACCTGATAAGATTTCCGGCTAACGTTCGTAATAAGATCGGCACTTCGGACACCGTAACACAAAATTTAATACTTGGTATTTACAAGTGACTATGTAATTATTTTGTCTACAACTTGTGTTGCGTTCATTACCACAGCTCATTATTACTTGGCAAAGTACAATTTTAATTACAAGCATTTGTTTATGATTGACAAACTCATAATATTTACGGTTTTTTTTATGTGAAATTTTGATTTCAATCATATACCAACCAATACAAACACGCTTTTATATGTCCAATTCGTGAATTGGCGAATTTTGCTGTTTCGTTGAAGTGTGTGGTTGGTTTGTGCAGAAAATGCCATTGGATCGATAATTTTTGTATGCAGAATGTAATAAATACAAATAAAATAAGGCAGAAAGGCTACGACAGCCATGCACGTCCCATATGTTATGTCTATCAAGTAAGACGACACAACGAAGCCACGACGGCTTTTTTTTCGTTCTGGGTGTTTGTGTGTGAATGTTTGTTTGTTGTAGTATGGTTATTTTTTCGCCGTTTCTCTGCACTGCACAACACATACGAGCGGGGCGCAATTGGCGCCAAGCCACATGCCAATTGTGTCGCATTGAATCATTCTAAAGATGCATTTTCTTCATTATGGCTTTGTCATTTCGTTCAAATGCATTTCAGAAATCAATAATTATATACACACACAAACTGGACGCTCTCTCACTCACTCTCTCTCTCTCTCTCTCTCTCTCTCTCTCTCTCTCTCTCAGCCTTTTCAGTCAAGTGTGAGATTGATGCCGTTGATATGAATGATGTGTGTATTTCTTTATACGTTGTTACACATTTATTGATTGCCGCGTAATAATAATCAAGAATCACTTTACGTAGTACTAGTAGTTTTTCTGTGTTGCCGTTTTCTATTTTGTAACCGTCTCAATTGAATTGTGTTCGAAACTTTTCCTTTTGAGTGTCAAAACTGATGCGTTTTTTAAAATTAAATTCACTCATCATAAATATTGGTTCAGAGTACGAATTAAATTGGATGTATTTTATCTGATTTCTTTTCCAGAATGCTGCAAAAATGATAAACACAAACAATCACCTCTATAATTTGGTTGGTGCGTTCAGCCAATTGAAACAAAACGAAAATCGCACAAAAGGTGAAACCAATACAGATGAACGAGTTCGTTGAAATATACAATTGATCGTATTTTGATTTTATGCAGAACACAGCCGGAGCAACAGACACACCAGTAATTGCAATCGTAATAATAATTGGAACCTGTCATTAAATTGCAATCGATGTAATTTTATCATCTTCATATAAAACGCAAACATTTTTTCCTTTCGTTTTGTACTGAATGTTTTTTTTCTTCTTTTTTCAACAATGGTAACGGAATCGATTGCGATTCGAATCGAGCATAGAATCCGTTTAATGACCTGGACATGAAAACATGGCTTCAAACAACACCCTGTAATTTTTTAAGTGCACATTCCTTATGAAGTGGAGTTTCATTCAATTAATTTTTTCCACCGTTGGTTAGCGACTATCGATTGACTTACTTATAAGGTTGAATGTGACTGTTTATCGTCATGGAATTTCCCAAATAAAAAACAAGAAGAAATTTATGGACGTTCATTAATTGATATTGAATATATTGAATAAGTTGAAAAACATGATTCTCGATCAAAATCACTTTTCGATCAATCGATTGACTTTTCGACACATTTCAAATTCAATCGCGTTCACATATTGAATAAACAACTGGATATTCATCTCATTTTAAAAGTTATTTTGTTGCAAAATCGACTAAACAACACCATAACTGGTTTTTCTCATAATAAATATCATCACCTAAAATCCGCCTACAATATATGCAATATCATCAACAATGCAAACAAAAGAACTTTTGGCGTGTGTGTTTTTTTCGTTCGGTTTCGCTGCAGTGAATCAATAACACTTAAATAACAATCACTTGTGAACGTGTGCCCGAAACAATAAACAACCGAAGAGAAAGAGCGAGAGAAAAAGAACGCAAAAAAAAATAATGAAGGAAAAATGCACAGAGAAATGCAACGGAATCTGAAGGAAATATACTGAATCGAAAATATAAACAAACAATTTAAAATACACACTTTTCGATCATTTCAGCAAAAAAAAAAAAGAATTGTTTTTGCTGTGTCTCTGCATATTCCGTTTTGAATATTAATTTTCATTCTTTTCTCGCTCTTTTTCAATGCATGACTACATCTGCTTCACACTTTACGCTGGTAGACAAAACACATAAAATTTACTTAAAAAAATCTGTTTATTGCCATTCTCTCCTTCTGTACCGCCAAACAATCTTATGTGTGACATTGCACTGAACGTTTCAACACACATGACTCTTTTGGACTTTCTTTCGTGTCTTTTTTGTGTTCAAAACGTTTGTTATGGTTTTTTTTCTTCAGCTCAGTCAGATTTCAAGTGCGCTGAAACTTTGGGCAAAGAAAGTCAAGTGTTTGCATTTCAAAGCCAATTAAAAGTAAGGAATTTTTGAATGACTTCATTGTATATTTTTAATTGTTTATTTGACGGGAAACACTAAAGTTTGATTGAATTTTTTCATCACTTTTTGTATAAAGATGAAATAAAAAGAAATATTTTCACTTGCGCAATTAACATATTTCACTTATTTCATTCAACTGGTTCATTTCGACATAAATGATGAATGTAAATGCTACATAATATTTTTTATTGTTCAATTAAAACAATTTTTCATTTAAAATTCCTTTAGAATGTGTTCCTTTGTATATATCCATTCTCTCAAATTTCAATTAAGCCATTATTAATTGATATACGAATTTTTAAGTGGTATCAAATTTGTTGTGCACACAAAAACCCAGCAAATAATGATGCCTGGCAAAAAAAGGTGATGCTTCTAATTTTATTCGGGGGTACATTCACGCAATTTGATGATTACAAATTGATTAACCGACGTAATGCAATTATTTGGTGTTTGAATCACACTATGTGGTGAATTTTAATGATGTTTAAACACTTGTACACACAGTATATCATTTGAATTGTGGCCCATCAAAGGAGCTTTTTTTGTGCTCTGTCGCTCTATGCGATCATTTCACATAAAGAGTTTGTGTGTACCGTTGTTGCTCGTTTTGTTGCACTCGTTGAGTCGCATCGAATCGGTCCTCGGTAAAGAGGAAGATGCGACAAAGAGCGTACACCGAATATCGTTTGTAAAATTCATGGGCTGTGTATGGGCGACTTTACACATTCAGTATCGGAAAGTAAAGGAAAAGAGAGCGTGAGTGAGTGAGTGAGCATGTGAATGGTAAAATGTGGAAAGGAGCAAAAAAAAAAAGGTTTTGCAATTTATGCAAAAATAAAAGTCATAAAATGATTTGGGGTGTGTTTGGTTGGTTGCTGGTGTGCTTGTGTATTGTGCATACAATGCACACACCATCATCATCATCACCATCATTCGTTTTCATATTCATTTGTTTGTTCTGTTGGTGTGTGCAACTTCTGTATTGAGCCATGCCGCTTTCGCTACTGCTACTATTGTTGTTGCTGTTTGCTCAACGTGGTTTTAGAAACTCTCACCAGGATCATAAATATAAGCAATAATAAGCCCATTTGGGCAAGATTTAAAACAGCAAAAGTGTTAAATGCCTATTATCTGTTTTGGAATTGTTTGCCGGTTGCGTTCATTCGCAACACTTCTCCCATTCTCACTCACTCCGTTTCTCTATCGATACGTGGATAAAAAATGTAAAAGAAAACTTTACATAAACACAACAATATAACCGATTAGCACCTTTTTATTATGATCATCATTCTTTTATTAAGCGATTGCCGGGACAATGGCAAATTCACAAACACACATACACATCGATTCACCAATATATTCACGTGGAGTTGCAAGAAAAAAAAAATGTACGGAAAATATATAGGAAAAAAAACTGTACAACCGGTCATTCAATGCTTGTTTAGCACACTCTCACATTTACCATATTTTATGCAATAGATTATTCCAGTGCGCGTCCCTTCACATCTTCATTTCAGTGTGTGTTTTTTTGTCAATTACTCTCCAAATTGCGGTTGTACTGAGCAGAACAAAAGCATCTACGGCTTTGATTCATTTTGTTTTGTATGTTTTTTGGCTTGATTTTTTTTTGTTGCAAAGTGGAATGAATAAGCAATAAAAAGTCAAGTAGCGATAAAATTGTTTTTATGAATGTGATAAACCCGAAAAATTCTCGTAAAAAATTACTGCGCGAGAGAAAGACGAAAAATAATGAATATAATAAATGAAGAAATTTTTTGGATTTATTTCAATGAAATTTTTTTTTTCTTCATTAAATTCAAACATGTTTTCATGTGATCTACATAAAAGCAGCTAATCGTGGAGCAATTAAAATTGACGGTACGAATGGTACAATACCGACGGCAGTTCATTGTGCCGTTTTGCGCGCGTGATGTTTTTTTTTTCTTCTCTGCGTTCTCTCTTCGTTCGTCTTCATCTTGGACAGTTTATGAGAACCGGAATATGAATAAAATAATCAGTTGAACGTATGAATTTTCTCGGGCATTTCTTTTTTTTCCTCATTTTTTTTCTTTCATCAATTTGCAACGTTTTACGTTAATTGAGATAATTTTTTATCAACCGTTCAATTTTGAATTTTTTTTGTTGAAAAAATTGATTTTAAACCGAAAATTCACTCAATTTTTCACACGAATTTTTTTTCTTTTTATTTTTTTAATTTTTTTCAAAATTCTATTGAAGTTAAATTCTAAAAAATTGAAATGAATACGTACCTGCGATAGCCATCCATGGATAGAATGTGTGATTGCTGGCTTGGTGTAGGCCAGATGCGGCAGCAGCAACTTGACCACTGGCTCCTGTGATGCATTGCGATGAGTTCCATGCATTGGCTGACACGCCCGACGACGAACCATTACCAGAGCGACCGACTGGACTTCCGTTGGCTGTTTCCAAGTAGCCAACACGGGAATCAGGTGTACAAGCTGATGGTCGGACTGGTGTTGAATTGCTTTGAGCATTTGATCCGGATGTATTCCACACATCTTTGTAGCCATTTGTATCGCTGGACGATCCAGTTTTGGCACAATCTTTATTATAGGTTCCATCGTAGAGTTTTGTGCATGCGGCCGTTATGCTTGCATCGTATGGTGAATCTTGTGTTGATCGTGATTGATGTAAATGATGATTTGCGTATGGTGTCATGCCAAGTGACAATGGAAAACCTCTGTATGCGGCTGTTGCACTTTGATCATGATGTGCTCCGGCTGTCATACCCATTCCGCTTGTTTGATGCGGATGACCATAAAATCCGCTCTGTTCAAAGTATGAATTCATATTGGCAAGAATTTTTAGGCCGTTTCAGTTCAATCGAGAAAAACAAAATGAAAAGTGATTTGCTTTTGTTGTTGTCGTTTTTTTTTTTCGTTCGCTTAATTTGCAATTAGAACATTCACGTTCGTTTCAAGCAAAAATTCCCTCACGTTTTCTTTATTTTATATTATGTAAGCCATCTAAAGTACAAATCTCTCAATTTTATTAGGTATTTTTTTTCTGTTTTGTATATGTTGCGGTTCGGTCGTTCTTTGCGTTACGTTTGCACTTCGTGAATGTGTACAGGTAGTAGACGAGTTTATTGAAGAAAATTGCTGTGTATGCTAGCAATAATTACAAGTTTCTTGTTTACTGTGAACTTGAGCAATTCAGAAGCAAAAATACATTAAACTCGAATTAAAACACGAAATAAAAGCACATTTGTTCAAAGTTGAAATTACAGACTCTCGTCACTTCAATGTTGTTAACACTTTAGCAGGATTTGATTTTTAGTTTCTCTTTCGTTTCTTGCAAACACTCCAAAAAAAAATTCACAAAGTGATCAGTTCTTTTTAGAATGAAAATTAATACTTTTTTTCCACTAAAAATGCTATAGTTTTTTTTTCGTTTTCGTATATTCACATTAATTTTATTGCGCGATCAAAAAAATGAATGGAGTCAATTAGAGAAAAAAATCAAATTAATCGCATTCAAATCATTGTCAAATGAATTTTATTAATCATAAATGTGATTGAGCACCTCTCTATTAGCATTTGTGAATTGCCCGGAATTGTCTGTTGTTTGTATTGATGACTTTTAAATTTTTCGATTTTATTTATGTTTTTATTTTAATGTTATGATTATTACTTGGTGTAATCAATTTGATGCGACAACGAATACGACGGTCAAAAAATCCATAGAATTGTTAAATATTTTATAGTATGTTTTGACGACACTGTGATCTGTTTGATTTTTATTTTATTGCGATTAATAAAATGTTTGTGTGTCTTTTTTATTATTTGTTTCTCGGTTTTTTTTTTGTTGTTTGGCTTTTGTCAATTTGTTTTAGCCTCACCACACTTCAGTGAATGAATGAGAGTTTATTTTTTATGTGTGGGAAATAGTAATAACAATAATCGTAAAAATAATAATCAAAAATAATTTTATGACTCCGTCGCGCACTCGTCACAGACTTGTCACATTCAAACACATGGACCTGATACACAACAAAATGCAGGGAAAAAATTTCGCGCGCGTTGTGTTACGGTGAAAATTGTTTGCAAAATGAAACTTTGATTATTCACCGAACTTTTGAGTTGATTGATGAAATTGATATTCTCCAACACTTTGTCGTTGATTCGAAAAAAAAAATCCAAAATTTTCGCGGAAAATATTTCGATTTCAAAAAAAAAAATTATATTTTTTCAAAATTATCGATGAAAATTAATTTTTATCGATGTTCTCATGCACTGAATTTAACTGATCGTAAAAATACGTTTTTTCAACAATTTTGAGAAAAATCGAAGACTTCGTTTTACTACGCAAAAATGTTTTCTCTCATATAAATGGGCGCAATTAAGATAAAACAGTTTGAAGCAACCGATCTCGATGACTTTAGTAACGATACTGATATCAAATGCCGAATCATACAGTGACTGATGTTATTGCTCACACTCTGTGTTTGTATGTTGTGTGTACTGTGTGCTGCTAGCTTTGCGAGTCGAGTTTCTCTCCCATTCTGTCTCTCTCTCAGTTTCATTCTTTCCCTCTCTGTGTATACTATGCGCCCCGGTGCTCCGTGTGTATACGCTTCTGTATGTGATATTGTTCTTTATATTTTATATTTTTCTGTTCGATTCTTTCTCCGCGCGCGCTCACACGTTTCGTTTATACGCCTTATACAACGTGTTACCACGTATTTTTATACATAGTCGATATGTGTGTATTATATAAATATGTGTGAGAGTGAGTGAACAGAGAGCGACAGCGGAGCGACAGAAAGGGAGAGAGTGAGTGAGCTTGTGTTGTGTTGGGCCCCGTTGTGACTTTTTCGATGCTCATTTCATTCGCTTGTATTCGCTGAAATAGTTCAGTATTGTCGCGCGCGCTCCTGATAGCTCTCCGTATTGCTGCTACTACTCAGGCAGCTAGTTAGCACAGTTAATACACTTGACGTGATTGCCGTGCTTATGAACTGGTAACTGCTCTATGAATGATCGTTACTTTGGAATTTTACTGGCAATCGCTAAATTTTATTTTTCAATTTGGTTGTCTCTCTGCTTGTGGCTTTTTTTTCTCTGTACTAGAGCGTGCTGCTTGGATCTAGTTTTTTGAACACAGATTTGCAAACACATAATTTCGCAATTTTATTTGGAAAAGCTTTTTTTACATCTCATTCGAAATGATGCTGGTTATACTTATGTGAATTTTTTTTCATTCGTTCAAAACGAAAAATAAATAATTTTCGTTCAACGGAAATATTTTGTAAATAAATTTTCTTTGATTCGCTTTAAAAAAAATTGAACACAATTTATGAATTGAACCGGAAAAAAACAAACCTGCTCAATTATCGAAAATTCCGTTTTTTTATTTATTCATTTATTAAAGTCTTATCAGCGAATTTTCAAAGTTGAAACAAAAAAAACGATTACTTATTTAGTTTATCTAAAGATATAATAATGTCATTGAGAAAAAAATATACTGAAACAAATAATTTCAGATACAAATTAACTTCGGCGACTGATCATGTCTTTTTCAATGGAAAGTTGACCGAGGATAAAAAAAAGCGCATCTGTAACAACAACGAAAAAAAAAATTATCGCATTTTAACTTTTATGAGTATTTTTTATTGATGTTGTTGTTGTTATTTTTATTACACCGATGCACTGAGCTTTTGAATGAGCAAGTAGCGTCGAATGTGAATGAATAAGGGAAACACGATGTCGATGGAGGACCAACTAGTTAAAATTGTCGTTAACGTATTTGTGATTATTGTTAAATAGTGAATAAAATTGGGATAATAAAATTGAGATAAAAGCGGTGCGCCTGTTCGTTGCTGTTGCTTTCATTCGAATGAATATATGCAAGTTAGCTTAGCGCTCTCGATTCAAATGCTTTTGCTGTTGATACTCTGTATGGTCTTTTTTTGCAACGATGCTTCAACTAAAACCGAAAATTACAACAAAAATAACAATAATAATAAACGATAATACCGAATGTTGTTGAATGGCTTGGATTCGCTTGCATTTGTACTTGTACATTTGGGTAAAATACCCAAGGTAAATACAGTAGCTGTATTGCGTTCGCCTAAGCTAAAAATATCCAATTTTGTTCAGTACGTTTGGCTACAACACTGTGTCCTCACAATGCGCTTCTGTTCATATCGAAGCCACACTCATTTTTATGTGTAGTTTTAGCGCAAGTACCAATGCGACCATATTGAGTCTATGCTCTGGATTCTATGTATTTTAGAATTGAGGAAAATCAAGCATACGATGCACGCACACAATTACATCATCCATCTAAAGCCAAAATCAAATACGGGCAGGCGTTCATATGCCATAAGCATTAGTGCTCAAACTGAATTCAACGGTTGCGTTAACGACACTCTCACATAACTTGGTGTATGCACACACACATCTCTTTTTCGGCTGTCTCTTGGATACGGTAGTCGATGCCTGAAACCGTACACCATCGACAAATGAAAAATGAGAGACAAAACCGACAAACAACACAGAAAATGCCTATACAAAACGCAATCGTTCGGTGTACAACATTTACCAATATTTTTATTGACTTAAAACTATTTTGCGGTTTATTCTCTTCGGAATTTCACCATTTTGCCACTTTGGAAAAGCCACATCTCCTACAGCACACAAAGTTCAATTCATTTATGTTGGAATTTCGGTTTATTTCAAATGTACGAATCAAATCTTTAAACTGAACAAAATCTATCCTTTAGCTTTGACAAAAGAGAAAAAATCGCATTTTTCTCTCATTTTATTGCAACACATTTTCCAATTTTCCGTTGCTACGTATGTACATTGTATGAATTGTCGCGTATGAAAATATATTCATTGAAGTGTCCATATAATTCAAATTCATACGCTCGAGCGGATAATTGTAACTATTTCAAAAGCCCTTTTTATAATTCACACATAATCCTTTCGCAGATAAAATTTAACAGTCATAAAATTTGATGACCTATTTCGTGAATATTTACACACAAGCACACATACACAGCGAAATATATATATCCTTTCTTAAACGACATCGAATTGAGTGTCCAGTTATGCGACGCGCGCGTTGCGTCGCACAAAATTTGTTTGAATGGAGTGAATCTTGTAATTGCTTTATTGACGGTCATAAATTTAGATGGGTTGCAATGTAAACAACTAAATGGACAACAACATGCCGAACTGGTAGCAAAACGATTAAGAACTAGTTTTGTCAATAGGAACATAAACCATTTGGTCAATTACAGTGTCACAGATTCATGATCTTATTTGACTTTGCAAACGAGCTCCTTTTTTTTGAAATATTAGACGTTAGACAAGTTTAAGAAACCACTTCAGGGTAGAAAAGGCTCTGATATAAGTTTTTTTTCAATTCATTTTTTTATGTGTGTATATGTTGCTTCTGAATTTCATGCTCTTGAGATTTTGTTATGACAAATCAATTCTGACAGATGATGGTTTCAATAAAAACCAATGAAAAATGTACGCAATTTCGAATACATTTTCTTTTTCAACATTCAGATGGGCAATATTCTTAATAAACTGAAGTAGAAGGAAAAGTAATTGAATGTCAAATAAATGGAGAGGGAGATTGTGATGAAAAAAAAAACTGTATAGTAGAGAGAATAGAGTTGAGCCCGACAAAATTGAACAAAAGATTTGAACAATTGTCGAAATGAGCAATAACGATGCCATAAACATTTCGTTACCTAATATACTTACCCTTGTTGTTTGCTGTGGTATTTTGGTTCTCTCTCAAATATGAATATTTCGTGCGTGGAACAGAAAAAAAGAGCAAAGACATTGAACGATTTTATGTGTGTAGCTTTTTGTTGCCTCTTTCAAATGACTGCAATGGTTTTTATCACTGATATCAACATTCAAGTCGATTTTGTTCAAACTCTCTCCATCTCATCCGCTCTCTTTCTGCCTTTCTAGACACTCTAGAACTCTTTTCTTTTTCTTGAAGGCAACAACGATCCATGTGTATACAAAATTCTCAATAAAATACCCTTTTTTCGTCGGACGAAAAAAAATGAAGAAAAAAAAAATATTCTCATCATATTCGACTTACATATCGTGTATTGTACATCCACTTGAAAAGAGAAACACATTTGGTAAAAATTTGGTCCGCTTTGTATTCGAACACGAAATAAAAAAAAACGCACATATGAGGTAACCAGAGAGGATGAAGACAAAAATACACACAAAAACTGGCGACATTTTTATTCAGTTTGTGCTCAAAAGAGACAAATACACAACATTCCGTTCAGTGTGTGTGTTTCCATTGAATTTCAGACCATTGCCTCAAATTACTGCTGCTTCTTCGTCTCTTTCATTTTGTTTTCTTCTTTTTCTGTGTGTTTTTTCTCTCTCTTCTCGTCCATTTATGTCTAACCAATTCGTTAGGTCTTCACATAAATTTCAGTTCACTTGCTGTAGGATGAGTGATTCTTCAAGCCATAAAATATTGTCATCATATTCTAAATTTATCGATCGATAAAGTTTTTCACCTTTGCCTATCCTATTTATGACTGAACAATCGCAATTTGAATTCAGAAAACCAAATTTAAATCGTCTAAAAATCAATAGAGTTTTATAAATAAAAACAAAATTTACTTCAAATTGGTGCCATTTCTACGGTGAAAATCTGTTAAAACGATTAATTCAAATTTGGGATTAACATCGATTTATTTTTATTTGTTTTTTATTATTTTCAATTTTGCCAAGTTTCTGGTTGAATGAAATCGGTCGTTCTTCAAGAAAAGCCCAATTCCATTTGAATGGATATTAAAAACAACAATTTATACGACTATAAATGTAAAAATTAACACCGAAGACTTTGCATCCCACGAGACACACTTTGATTCGCATTCAATCGATCGATGGCTGGTAGTAATTGTGTGGATTTTTAAGCCACAATTCCGCGTGTGCCACATAATAACTCGTGTAATTTTATTCAAATAGTTTCGGTTCAATAACACAAACTTGACTCCATACGATTTTTTTCTCTCTCTCTCTCTCTCCACAAACCTGTACGTATGCGTACGTGAATTGAAATCCAACCATCGATATGCCTAGCCAACGGTGTTAAGTAATAATAGTCATAATAATAATAATAATCGTAATCATAATATAAAATTTAATTTTTATGATGCCCAAAACGATCAAACTAATAGCTAAACATGTAATAAAAATTCAATTTTCGGTTTATTCTCGTTTCAGATCGTTATTCAGATTTTTTCCTTGAATGTACTAAAAATCGTTTACCTCTCTCTCTATGTATATCTCACAAGGATTTCATTGCGTCTCATGCGCGCACGCTCGCTGAAATAAATATTAAATAAAAAAAAGCAGACGAGACATTTCATTTTATTTTTAAACATTGTTCGATTTATTTCTGTTTATCTTCTTTCACTCGGAACGGTTTCCCCATTATGTGTACTTGAAAAGTTGAAAAATATAAAACATCGTTCGATTTATGTTTTATTTTCTTGACAAACTTCATCGATTCTGTTTTATTTTCATTTTTTGTGGTTATTTATTCGAAATCGACAGCACCATTTTAAATCAAAAGTTGTTTACAAAACTAAATTGATATTTGATGCGATAAGAACAAAAGCGATTAATAAGTACGAACATGTCCGTTATATAATTGTAATGTCATCGCACATCGTGAAAATCATCGTTCACTTAATAGATCACAATCAAAACTAAACATCACATCACGTTGGGTGGAGAAAGAAAAATCAGTGGCCATCGGAAATCGACATTGACGTTGTTTGCGTATCAGAGCAAAAATATAACGAATGAACTTGCCAACGCGCGCGCTTCTACTTTGTATAATAAGATACATTGTATGTGGATGTGACTCCTTTCAATTCCTTTTAACACCATAAAAATAGATGTAATAAATATAAAATAATCATAAACATAAGTACTAAGTAGCTATTTATCCAAGTAGTTTGTGTTGAGTATGCGTCTGCCATTCGGTATGTGTTTGTGTGTGAGTTTGATGCAGTCGCTCGAAATGAGCTTGTTTCATGGTTGTTTTTCGTTCATGCTGCTGTTGCGCCAGAAGGCGGTGAAGACATTCCATATGAAAATGAGTGAGATACAGAGAGCTGTGCTGTTGAGTTTGGATTGATGAAATCAGGAACGCAATCACGGGATTCATTTAGTTTTATCATTATGGCTGTGTGTTTGTGTATATTCATTGCTAAATATGCATATAAACCGTCGAAAAACGACTGACGCTTACGTGGCACATATTTATATATCATTCGGGATGTGTCTGGATGATGATTATGTAATAACAAGCGCAGCCAAAAAACTGACGTCACAAAGTGATATTTTTTTCTCTGTCTGATCATCAAAGGGGGTTATGTGTATGTATGGATTGTGTTTTGAAGCTTGTATTCCATACACACCACATTAACATTTATGGCCAATCGACAAAAGCATGCGCATTTCATTCGCCCGTAATCGTAAAATCCACGGCCAAGGCCATCGTAAACAACGTGTATTAAATTCACTTGCTGCAAGAACAATTTTACGATCAAATCGACAATAAATTTTACGATTTGTTTTGACTGGCAACTGCAAGCCGGGCTCTCTTTTCTTTCGTCACATGCCGGCTTCTGGGCATATTACACTCCAACTCTTTGTCACTCGACAACAACCTGCAACAAAAGAAAAAGAAGAAAAAAAAAACAGATAAACAATGAACATTCAATATTGAAATTTATGATTTTGAAAACGTTAAAAATTAAAATTCCATTTAAAATCGATTTTTATTCATTTTTTCGTTTTCTTCTTTCAATTGTTTCGTTTTTCAGATCGATTTTTATGAATTCGCTTGCTGAACATCGAATTTCACATATATATTTTTTTTTTATTTCGGAGGAATAGAAGAGGCTTTTCAACACAGCACAGGATCGTGGCTTGTTAAGTAAAATATGGCAAATCGACAAACAATAAATTATTTACGCAACAATTTCCGAATCGCTTTGGCTTTGTTTAGCGCTATTTATAGCGCACAAATGTTTTGTAACAATTGGGTTTGTACCATTTCATCTGTATTGTTGTCTTTGACCAAAATAATTCATAAATCAATGTTATATTTTTCTACTCATCTCTGTTTTTTTTTTCATTTTTTTTCTCTGTCTTTTACACGCTATCTAATCTAGGATATCTCTCGCCGACTCTCCGGTGGTGTTTGAAAGAGGCATGGTTGCCAATGAATACGACACACAGCATACATCGATAAAACAGAGTACTTTTCACCACCGGTAAATTGTCTAACAGCGTTGTGTTTTTTTTTTGCCTTACACTACACCTTGATTTGAACTGCAACAGCGTACAATGGGCAACAACGAGCAGAGAAAGCGTGCTTGAGTGCATTGTACAATAAATCATAATTCTTTGTCGCAAAATGTACAAAACACCAACAGGACGACGAAGAAGAATCGGAGAAAAAAACACGAAGAAAATAGAAAAGAAAGAAGTGCAAAAATATAAATGTACGAGTACCCTATGTAATTTGGTTCGCACGATTTAATATGAGAGGCAAAATAAAATATTCGTTAAAACACCAGAAAATTGCAAAAAAAAAAAATTGTAACCAAAAAAAAGAAGAAATGAAAATAATACTGATTCAATTTACAAATTTAATGAAAATTTCAAGGATTTGTAAACAAACAAAATCCCATTGGATTTAACATAAATTGAATTATATTATTCAAAAGATTAACTTTTGATTGTTTGATGCTCTGGTCATCGACGATATTCATTCTCAATTCCAAAGCCATTTCAGAGGCAAAATGTGTAATTCAAAAACATTAAAAATTGTTTTTTCTTGAAATCAATTTTCCAGAGCACACCTTTATCCATACAGTTGCATTCATTTCGGTCCTCTAACGGAAAATCTGGATTCTAAATATATTTTTGTTTTAAATCGTCCAAAACGGATTTCATGAAATTCATTGAAACGCATCCGCAATGTGTACACATTGCGATGTACATATGTAAAAGATATAACATAAATCTTGAGGGAAAAGCTGCTTAAAACCAAATTAAATGTAATACTGAAGCGACGAATGAACGTTCGTCGTACGGTTCAAATTTAGAATTTCAAATACATAAGAAGTCAATTTAGTGAATGATGATTTTTGAAACATCCTTCGGAAATATTGTACGTTGAATCATATAAGCCATTCAATTTAAAGTGTTGAAATAAATCACAGAAAATCGTCGACATTTTTCACAATTTTTTTTTGTTTCTAATTTTCTTTCAGGTTATTTCTAAATGGGAAAAAATCATCGGAAAAAGAGAAATGAAGAGAATGCGTTTTAATCATCACAAAACAAATTTCGGAAGTGCATGAAAAAATGATGGCGGAAAAATGCAGCAAACAGATGTTATATAGACTTTAGAAACCTTTCTGAGATATTTCATCGAGAAATACAATTTAATCATGCTTAATTGGAAATGTAGATCATGCCAATATATTAAGAAAACAATAGTTGTAAGGCTTTTAGCGATTGTTCATTTAATTTGTTGGAACAACGAAATTATTGTTGAAAAGTGCATAATTAAGACTCAACAACAACTACAAAATTTATTTTTGGATTAGGGCTCGTATATTAGGCATTTTAAGAAGAAAAAAAAACAATCACGGAATAATTTAATCATGAATAAATCAAAAATGTTTGTATATTTAGCGAATTAGTTAAAGCATAAATCAAATTAACAATTCTGTAAGAAGGAGTAGCATCATTAAGCAACAATGTGATACTATCATTTACTTAGTTTATAATTCGCATAAAAAATAATTGTAATTATCTTTCACTCTTAACTATATAATTATTAATTTAATAAACAATATAAGCGCTCTTGCAACGTATTCTCTCACAACATTCACATAATTTCTTCGTGTGTGCAAATGGTTGCCATTTACACCACAAATCACATGCTACAATTGAAATATGAAATTGCGCGCATTGCTTGGTTAAACACCAGTAGTTAGCAGTTTGCTTTCAGCAAAATGAATTAATTGTATTTGAAAAATCCAGGCGAAGACGAAAAACAGCGGTGCGGAGAAATGAAAAACAAAAAAATACCGAGTGAAAAATCGCGTGGTGAATGAATGAATGAATGAACAAAAGTTTTAATTTGCGCCCAAGGGCAATAAAATCGTATGTAAAAATAACGAATGTGAGAACAGACTAGAGAACGCGAAGTAGTATCCATTGCAACAATAACAATTGTGCACACATTTGAGAATACACACGCCTAATAGATAGCTTAGATATGACGATAAGATCGGCTTTTTTTCATTCGTTTTCTTACAATCAAACAATTTAATGGTTAACTATGTGCTTTTATTTACCAGATCAAACAAGAGCGCTTTGCATCAAAGCGGCAATGCGAAAATTCATAATAAATAACACTTAATCACTATCATTATTTGAATCAGCGTATACTATGATTTCTGACCGATCGGCCAAGCTCGATCTCTTTCAATTTAGTGCGCTGTACGAGCCAGTATTTTGGTTTAAATCATAAGCGGGCACTCATTTTTTGTGCTCTAATCTTATTTAATCGTTTTAAAACGATATAAAATCTAACCAATTAGAAAATAGAGTTCCCATGGTCATAAAAAAGTTCCCACATTTAAAATGATAGTTAAATAGCGCACGTGACAAGTGTATAGTACATATAAAAATCCATTAAAAAAAACCGGAAGATTAAATTATGACCGAACGAGCACACCATAGCCCAGAGTGCAAAGCAGTACAAATTAAAAATCTATGAAAATGTAATCGCAGTGTTACTATCGATATGACATGGCTCGTAAAATACAGTTTAAAAATGTTTGCCGAAATGGTCTTTCACTCATAAAATTCTCAACCACATCATCGAAAAACTTTTACGATTTGTTTGTGTGTGCATTCCGTGGTGTCTGTTGCTCGATCTTCTTTTTTTATTGACAATTTTCTCATATCATAAAATACACCCGAAATTTGGTTGAACGATGACAACAAACAAGATGAGTACCAATAAAATATATGTATTCAGATTACGGAAAATTGATGTTTTATTGAATTGTTTACTGAATGACTTAAGACTTTTACTCGCCGAAAATGACTACTAATCTCTTGATAATATGTTCAATAAAATTCTGTGTGTCGGTCGGTGTAAAAAATTTGTTCTGACACACACTAACTACAGAATTGAGCCAGAGTGGTGCGAGTGGCACACACATTCCAAGTTGGAATTTCCAACCAAACATGAATGAAACATCATACAAAACAAGCGAACAGATTGCATTTTTGGAATAAAAAAAAGGATAGCGGGCGTACGATTCAGCCCAATATGAAATATCATTAACATTATGGTTATCGTCAAATAAAACTGAAAATGAAAAGAAAACAACAACAAAACGCATCACCAACTCAACGTATCAAAAAGTAACGTGAAAACAAACATAAAAATAAAAGTTAAGTTTTATGCACTCACAATGAGCGCGCGCGCGCGTCCGCACACAATCAGGCACACATACACAGCTTTTGTGGCAATGTGCCGTTTTTATGGTTCGGGTATGACATTTACGAGTATTTTACTGATCGTAAAATTCAAAAATAATTTACTAATAAAAACTCCACCGAAAAAAGAAACGAGAGAGAGAGACATACACTCAGAGACAGTGAGAGTAAAAGGATACTGAATACCGTAAATACAAGCTCATTCATACAAATTTACCGATTATTATGGAATCGAAGTTAACCGTTGTTATAACACCTTATGGTGAATCACCGCAAAGGAAAGTGGTGCTTCACAAAATTGGCACATACTACCAAAATGGGTGAGTTTAACTGAGATAGACTCAATGTCAACCGGCTAAGCCTATGAAGAGACAAAATGCGAATTCCCCTCATCTGTGCCATCTTGTATTCCATAGTTGAACTCAATTAAGTTACAATGAATTGAATCGAAAAAGAGAAAAAAAACAACAACAGTAACATGGCTACATAGATCTGTTGACCAGTGAGATACGTATAGCAATGGAATGAAAGAATGAAGAAAGCGTATATGTGTATGTATGCATCAGCACGCATAGATGTACAGCTCTGTGTGGCCGTGCTATTGTTGTTGTTTTTTCACTTTTTCATTTCAATGCTACAGAATTAAATTCAGTTTTTGCATCTAATTCACACTAAAATCAGATGGCGCTCATTAGCGAGATTCGCAAAAAAAAGTCTCCAATCTCATACAAATATACACCGGCTGCTCAATGTACACTAGTAGTGTAACACTACTATAATTTGGACAAAGATAAAAGTAAATAAGAGAAAAGACGTCTTTCGTATCTACTTAAATCGACTCATTTGACAATTGTTACGAAGAACTTCGTTGGGATGAGAGAAAAAATATATGAAATTATCTTCTAGAAAACATTGCCAAAAGAGTAAAACCTGTGCATTGAGTCTTGTTGTCTTTGATTTTTACTCAATGTTTTTTTTCAGAGACTTAATCTCAAACAGCAGCAAACAACAGAGTTTAAGTATGCCAAAAAGCATCCAATACACAGCAACCGTGATAATGTGTGTTCAAAATGCCATAAACTTAAATATATTCGGAATAAATTTTCGGTGTGAATAAGCGCTTGAAATGAAAACATCGTAAATTTCACGATGTTATAACCGAATCTCAATGAAATGACCATAAAATTCAAACAATTTTCAAAACGATGACGATAAAAACCACGTTTAAATGCTTCGCATCTCATAAATACTTTTTTTTTCTTTCTTGTTTTCACTTGGCTGTACTTTATCTCAAACTGGCTTTTATAGCTCATTCCATTTGATTTTAATTGTTTGATTTTTGATGTGATGATTATATTGTGAGCATAAATTATCAATTAAAATGTCATAGAAAATTGCACATTCACTATTTCCATTTTATTCGATTCGTGGTTCAATCAAAAGAAGAACATAAAAATATGCAAAGCTATCGCGTTTAGTGTGGACTCAAACCATATTCAGAATGAATGTAAACTACCTCTTCTAACCAAAATGGAAAAGAATGGAGTCAAACCGCATCGTCGATTACAACAACAACATGGACATGACGCATCGAAAAACGCATTGCGATGTTCGACGATACGTGTTTTGCTTACATATATATGGTATGCGCTCATACGAAATGCAGCACACAGACATTTCGTGTGTTCTGCACACGTAAAAATCTCGATTTTGGTGAATCTTTGCCATGACATCTGCCCTTGAACAGCAATACTAATCATTTTGCCCATTATCGTTGTTTCTGTACAATTTTTATAACATTTTTTTTCGTGTTAATTTACACAAAATTGCCTAATTAAAATTAAATTTAATGTAAACATTGTTCATTTTAAATGGGGAAGTAGTACTTTGTTTTTTTTTGCTTTTGTTCGCTTTATGCGATATTGTATTCGGTTCAAAAGAGCATCAACTATACATAACGATAGCTAATCCGCGTAGCCAATAAAAAAATATCTCGCATGTAATATTGTGCGATTAGGAAAAATCGTAGAATATTTGTTTCTTTTTTTTTGAAGAGATTAAAATGGAGGAACCAATGTGTGCTTATAATACATGAATAGTATATGTACAAGTAGGTTTTGTTCGTATTCTAGACTTTAGAGTGAATCATATAATAGCTCTGGAGAGAGAAAGAAAGAAAAAGAATATAATTGTATTGAAGAAAGCGGGATCAAAATTTTGAACAGATAGAAATTTGAAATGATCATTTTGTGTGCATCAATTTTCTTCGAGCGTGAGCAAAGAGATGCCACCTTTTACCAAAAACCGCTTTGACCTTTTGAATTAAGTCATTTTTTCTTCATCGTTCATTTTATACAAAGAGATCAACAAAAGGCGAAACAAATTAAACAATTTATCTGCAACTTTACATACAAACTGAAATGAAATGAGCAATAAAAGGAAAAAAAAATCAAACAAAATACCGTACCGTAATAAATAACATTGAAAAAGAAAAATAATCATAATTTTTCTTGAGTTCGGCGACATGACATTCAATTTCTCTATTTATTCAAAAGCTAGTCCTTGAAGTTGGTCGAAAACAACACCCGAAGCAGAAGACGACGAAACAGAAACCGAAAAAAAAACAGGTAAGGTGTGTAAAACAAATGGTCGTCGACTCAAGTCAAAAAACTCAATGTGCTTCGACCTTTTTTTTCTTTCAGTCAAATCAGAAAAAGTTCTTTTTTCTTTCATTCCCGAAAGAGGTTGTATTTTGTACGTTTGTTACAACAGGGAAAGGTAAAAACGAAAATAAAGCGATAAATATAATTTATGAGTTTCAGTTTTCCCCCTTTTGAATTTCCGAAAGAAAAATGTGAGCGAAAATAAGAAAGGTGAAAAAAAATGATTGTTTTCCATTTTCAATGCACGCACACAAACGATGTAGGTTAAAGAAAAATCATTATTAGGCTGGAAATTAGAACGACAAAACAAATGGAAGAATTCTTCACTCCACCCATTTTGTGTATCACAATTTCAAATGTTTGAATCGAATGAACGAAAAGAAACGATGAGATAAAAAGCACAAATCTAGTGCAACCGACAAGCAAACATTTTCAATTTATATATAGAAAACGAACAATATAAGCGCAAAACTTTTGTCGAATTGAATAGATGATCTGTCGAAAAAGAACAAAAGGATCATGATTTCCATTGTTGTAGCACACACGAAATGTGAATTTATCGCTTATCTTATCGATTATTTCAATTGTTCTATATTCGAAGCGTTACTGAATTGCAAAGATAATTCAATGCTGAACAATGACTAAATCTAGTGAGAAGAGAGACAGACTGAGGGAGAGAGAGAGAGAAAGAGAAAACATGGCCGACCATAAATTTGGAACTATCTGTGTTTGCGTGCGAAAGAGCATACAACTTCCCCTTTTTTATATAAAATACTGTGAATAACAAACTTCTATTATATGTGTGAGACCCGAAAGAAAATTGATTTACAGCATTCAACTTACTCTCAAGCAAATGGTTTGTTTTGTGCAATTGAGACATTCAACAATTCATTATTTGTGCATAAAATTCGAGCGTATTGCATACTCTGTGTATGTGTATGCGTTTGACGGATCTATATTTTTGTCATGGTTATTATATGGCTGTATAGTCACATTGAATAGCTGTGTTAAGTCAAATATCGCCATCATTATTATTGTCATCATTGTTTGGATGCTGCTGAGAGTGCGTTTGCATTATATCAACCGGAACCACATTCGACTTCTTTTTTGGGCGACTTCTCATTTTTTTTTTTGTATGTGTCTCTGTTGCCAGTTCTCATCGTTCGACGCTCAATTTTCGCTCGATAAATTCCGAATATTTTTTGGGGTTACTCTCTTATGAATATGAATATCTAGATAGATGCCATGTTGGTTAACAATAAAAAAAGGGTTCGCCAAAGCGTATCCTCTGAGAGAGCGTGCGCGCGCGAGCAAACGCTCATAGATATGAAAAATAAACAAATGATATCCGCTTTTCATGCGAAACATCGTTTGTTTGCTTTGCTAAAAATTCCATTCTCTCTCACTCTTTTTTTAGCCATATCTGATGCATCCTGCACATTTCAGATTGGTCGACGCACACATACTCAGCTTTGCATGACGAAACATTGATTTTCCGCTTCGGAATATACTCGGGGTTATATGCACTGAATAAAGCCATTTTGAGAATCTGATCTATATAAAATGAATGTGTATCGCACAAAAATGATAGCTTTACGACCAACTAGATACATGTAAATGCGAAACAACAATAAAAACAGAGAGAGACATTGTATCTAATGTACTGTTCGATTCGGTTGCTGATTAAGCCATTGAAGAAAGAAAAAAATCAATGTTGTTTACGATGAATTCGAATCGCAAGATCGAAAGATTACAAACATCGTCGTCGATGCTCCTAACATTGTATGGCCTTTTGTATATCGTGACTCTTTTGCTTGCGCTGTCTGAGAATTTATTTGAATCGAATGAAAATTAAACGTTATTACAACGTTTCGATGGAATTGAAGAAGAAAATGGGCAGAAATGATAGGAAGGAATCATTGAAAAATAAGTTAAACACTGCAATTTCAATTACGAATCAATTTTGAGACCTTTCCTCTTTGATTTTTTTTTTTTCAATCAATTTTTTTATTGGCCTTTAATTTTTGAACTCTTTCCATTTTTTGCATTTGCTTATATATCAATGTAATTGATGGGAATACTTACTGTAAATAATCACCCAGTTGCTCTTTTAGCCATCTATTTCATTCGCCATCTGAAATTTAATAAAACCATAATTATTTTCGATGTTTTTCTTTTCAGATTTAATGAATGTCAGTTTTCCAATAAAATCTAAGCAGTCGTTTCGCCATTACAATTTTTGTTGTTTTCTGAATATGCTAAAACAACAGTCTGATGTCGCATAAACGAAGCGAGAAAAAAAATTCCTTATTAAGTTTAATTTATGCTGAAATTCAGGCAGTCAAGCGCAAACGAATCAGAAACAAAAAAAAATCATGTATCGTCGTCAACATACAAAAAAGAGTTAGCGATGAAAAACCAGACGAATTCGAAATAAATAATTGATGAGCAAACCGATCTGAATGTCAAAGAGGAATAACGATGGAGAAGAGACAGACCTTCAATCGACAAACTTCGAATCAAGTTTCAGACGAAATGATTCGCAGAATTATAAATGAGACTGAAAAAAGAGAAAATAAAAATGCTAAAAAAAACAGTAGAAAACAAAATCAACGACGAAAAATGCTGGCCAAACTTGTTCTTCAGTTTTGTGCGAGAGCACGCTTGAAAATCCATTTGAATGAGTCGGTTGTTATTTTAAGGAATCTTCTGGTCATGAACGCAATGTGCACAAATTGATATGCATTTAATCAACAGCCTATACATATATTGGCGTCAAATGCGTGCTCGTCGTTTTTTTTTTCTTTCTTTTTCACCACTTTTGATGCGACCATTTTATACATAAGCCACAATAAATTATGATCGTAATTGACGGCACAATTACCAAACTCGTGATACGCTTGTTTTATTATTATGATTTTCACATTTAATTTAGTATTTTGCGCCGCATTATGTACACACATATATTTATTTTTGTCCATTCGGATGGCATGCATACAACAAAAACACCCGATGATATTATTATAAATAGATGGGCAACAGTTTCGATGGAAACTGCTGCTGTCGAACACCACGCAAACAACTAAAACACTCAGCTCATGAATTTTAATTCAAAATAATACAACGGAAAAACACTTGCAGTTTTTCGTGCTACACCACACCGAAAATGTGTATGGGAAGAGTGAGAGAGAGCAATTGGCTCGCAGGCACGTTTTCAAAATATTCATTGGACACAGAAAATACGCAACTACACCAAAACCAGCAACGTATTATTTTAACGCATACTTTGGCTTTAAGCTTTTTTATTCTCAATTCAATGTGAGAAAAACCATCAAAAACTTAAATAAAAAAAATTATGTTTTCATAAAATTACGCAATTCTTGGTTAAAATCGCGAGTTCTTTTCTCTACACCTCTGAAAAAATAACATAAGTTCATGTGATTTTGAATGATTTCAATTTGCAAACAAGATGGAACGAACATTCTCTTATAAATACAGCATGTTCTAAAATTAATGTGCTTACATTGTATGTCGTCTTTTTTTGGTCGAAGAAAAAAAAATATTGAAGTTAATAAACAAGAAGATTTATTGGATTTCGTAAGGTTCGTCCATTTTGTCAATCCTTCTTTAAATACATAACATGAAAGATTCGCAACAAATTAGAGGTGACAACTGTAGATACAAGTCTTTTCAATAGACACGTTTTTAATTGAGTTTCATAGCACCAGTTAACTCAGTTAATTAATAATATAAGAGCATATCTCGCTCTTCGCATGATTGATGTATTAAATATTTATGAGTGTGTAATATATTTAATTGCTCGTTAGCAATATAACCGTGGTGAAGAGAAATTGCTGTAATAATGAGGTGCTTGCAGCTGAATCGGATGATGTGCGCGCACACTGAAATCACTTTCCAATTTTCATCCATTTATCCTGCACTTTACAAGCGGTAATATTGTGTGTGCATTAAAAAAAAGAACTCTCAAGATAAACAATCGTCAATGATTTCACTTGCCAATCAGCGCCATTGTATGGACGATAAGAGGAAGGAAAAAAAAAAACAAAAGTGAAGAAGGTAAGAAAAAGTAATCAACAATAATATCTCGCTTAAAACGTAATCAAAAGTCGACCATAATCACACGGTAAATGAATTTACATGAAGAAATTGTGCATATCATGCGACGAACGTCGAGTGTATGTATGCAATTGAGTGGCGAAATAAAAGCTTGTGCCATCATCGTTCGAACTAAAAGAGCATTGCAGCGCAATCGCACCGATGAAAGGTGTCGGTAGTTGATACGTGCGCTTGATTTTCATTCGCTTTTTTTTTGCATCTAGTTCTTGGCATCATTACTAGACCATATAGTTATATAAGTGCGCGAGCGAAATGCAATCAGTTCGTTCAGGCTGTGTTGTTGGTGTTGCTGCAGTTGCGGCGGCGAATGGTGACGATGTCATAAATAATTCAAATTAATGCCTTTGCAAACTAGCAACTCGTACATTTTCCACTTAAATTCATTAATGCCATTATTTTTATTAACCCTTTGAATGTTTTTTTAAACACTGACTATGTGTATGAATACTTGATGTTTACATAAATTTTATGAGCGTGCTAGTTTTCATTTGATTGCATCTCAACTTACACTTGATGGTTACCGAACCGCCACCAGCGCACCAAGTGCAAAGAAATTCAGAGGAAAGATAGAAATTCATATGACAAAAGCGCAACGACTTATTTGACATCGAAAGTGAGAGAAAAATGTTCTCGGTGAGTTTGTGAACTACCATTTTAAATGGATCATTTATTAGTCGACGTGCAGCACGTTCTCAATGAGTAGAGTGGCAATAAAAAGTATCATTCAAAAACATAAAAATCGAAAAAGTCAAATTTTCCAACCGAACAACAGAAGCGGTAGCAGAAAAAAAAATCACCCGAAACCATATGAAAATAAAAGTGCCACCAAAGTGGGTGAAGAGAGAGAGAGAATTGAGAGTGAGAAAAGTCATAGAATATGTTGGTTTATGCGATGCAAGTAGCGTATATTTGCCAAAAAAACACCAAAGCGTCTCATAAAAATCTCTCCGCAGCATTTCTTTCGTTTTTATGAACTATACAGTATACAGAGAGCTCTTTCACACATCATAAATGTCTCGTAAATTGCGAGAGCTGCTGCAATGGATGCTCGTACAACATGAAACACAAACGTTCTGTGCAAAGTGGTGTAGTATAACCGACAACGACGATAGGGAAATACAGCAATAAACATGCACTTATTCGCTTACGCCGTTATTTTTCGTTTCAATGTGAGCTCAATTCTTTCGTGTCTCTTTTTTTTCGTTTCGTTCTTTTAACAGTATTCTTATCCCTGGCAATGATTCGAACCGAATTTCGTTTTCTTTTTTTTTCGATCTTTAGCTTTAAAATGCATGAAATGCCAAAAACTGTGGTATCTCTGTACAAACCCAACAACACACGATGCGCCAGCATATTCTTTCCGATTTGGCATATTGTGTGTGAATGCTGAAGCGTGCGCATCGATGCCATGGAAAATCTGAAAATGCTGAGACAAACACACACACACACACATCCAAAGAGATCAACTGCTCGATTTACCTACTCGTTTTCACTTATCACATCTAATCCTTTTCTTCTCTGTCGGTTTTGCACCGTTGAGGATGTTCTTCGACGAACGAGCAACGTCTTTGCTTGGCTCTTTGTACATGCGTTCATGCTCGTTCGGGTGTTTTTTTTTTTGCTCTCACACAGAAGGTTTTCTTCTCATTTTAGTGATTGTCAGATTTTATATCCCATTCTAACTGCAATAAACGATAAACGTTACGATGCAGCAATAAAGCCATCTCGTTTGCACATAACAGTGGCCATAAAAACGATGATTTTAAGCACTACCTCCATTTCGGTGTGTGCACACGATTCTTATTCTCTCTGTCTTGCTTTTGCTCTGTCAGAACGGAATTTTGTGCCTTGTTGCTGTGTACACCGTATATGTGTGTTTGCCGTGTACACACATATCTGTGCAGTGCTCATTGTATGTGGGTACGTACTATTTGCGTTCCATAGCCAGACCCCAGAAGGAAGACGAAAAAATTTTTTTTATCTACACACGTCCATAAGGCACACGCTCACCGTGTTCTGTGTATGATATTTCTTCCAGCGCCAACCGCTTGAATGTCTTTTATGAATTCTTTTCATTAAGGAAATATGCACAATATTAACCTAATAAAAAGAAGGTATGAAATGGCCATATTTTTTATGCGCGCACTATTGAAACCAATATTCACGGTTAAAAAAAAGTTGTGAAGCAAGCGTTTTATCATTTTTATTTCGATTATAAAACAATGACATAGACAAAATAGAGCAATCGATGATAACACGCACATTTTCAACAATCGCATCCACTCATACAAGCACCAAATGCGATGTGTATTGATACACGATTCAACTCAGATCAAAGCATCATTCCATCTCACTTGCACTGCCGGACGAGGGCAGTCAAACGACCATCTCTTATTCAGTTGGGCGCATGCAAACACAATGACGCGCACTCTGTAATATCACACACCCATCGTCGAAATGATGAATATGCTGTGTACGCGTCGTTAAGACGGCTATTATGCTCTCGTATATGTGCACAAAAGAGAGCCATGATTGTATGCGCTGTGTACGTTAGCACTGCTGCTGCTGCTGTCACACAGCCGAATATCATGGCTTCCTCATATTGAGAGCGCAATAAACGAACGAATAAGAAGAAGGAGCAAATGGGCGTGTTTTACGATTATGTGCCAGGGTTGTAGTCGTTCACGCTCGTTTCATGCTCAGATTCGTGTCACTAAGCAAAAAAGTGTGGAATTCTTGTACGATTCTTTTTTCTGCATTGCGCCTACGGTACAATTTTTTTCACGCTTTTTTTCGTAAATAATTGAATTTTCTTGAAAATAATTTTTCAGGATTAAATGTACATTTGTTGTTTATAAACTAGAATTTTAATTTGTATTATACAAATCGTTTATTAACTTTTTATAAAACAAATCGGCTTTTGACAGTGGGATGAGAGAAAAGTGCCGTCGCATTTTTTCTTTGAGATTTTTTTTGCAAAGATGACAGGTTTCAAGGAAAAACATCGATAAATTTCATGAAAAAATTAGCTTGGAAGTGAAAACAATTCTATATTTAGTTCAGAATTTCATTAAAATATCAATAAAATACTAATTTATGGCAAAATCTTTGTTCAACTGAATGAAATTGCTGGTTAAAAGTCGCTGTTGAACTTTGTAATTTTCCTATATAAAATTTTGTTTAAACTTACATATTTTCGCTTGATTACATTCAATACTTTGGATATTTCCATCTGATTTGATGGAATTGGTTCGAAAATTCTTGCACAATTGACTTTTAAATGACATTTTTAACTCTTTTGGGCCAAACTTTTCTTTTATTTAAATTTAAAACACTTTATAACTCATTTACAAAATAAAAATTCTCACTTTTAACAAAATAACAGAAAATTCTTCGCAATATTTGTAAAACAAACAAAAAAAAATGTTGTTTACAAATAAAATCGGTTGATGAATACGATCGGATGAAAAATAAAAACATTTGTGACAGCCAGCGGAATGGTTCGATTTGAGTCGGTAGTAGACTGCAGTGGTACGGTAGGCAAAACAAGAAAAACGAAACGGAAAAAAAAGAATGAGAAAAAAGCGACTGCAAAACACAAACCTCAAAAACAATGCTGACAACTTTCCTATGTCAGTCCATTACATCAAGAATAAATTTTCTCACCAAAACAAAATTAAAAAAGCACACAAATATAGGCTCGTGCATACGGCAACCAGTGTATATGTGTGTCTGTGTGAGTTTGTGTTGGTGCGTTGCGTCAGTGGAATTCATTAGGCTTGTGCACAAATACAAAATAATCAGTTTTTCTGAGCCCATAAATGTGGCACGTTGTCGAGATAAATGCCGAAATCATATAAAGGCAAACGGCAATGACATATAACTATGTGTATATATGTACGTATGCATGAGATCCCCACCTTGTACGGTCGCTCTCTTCCGATTCATCAACCATGTTAAATGTGTATGGCACGTCGACAAAGCAGTCATGCTGAATGGTTGCCACATACGCATTCAATGCTAGCTCCGTTGCTCTGATATCGCTTTGAGTCGTTGATTTATTAAAATTCACTGTGTATTTTTAGCCTGTGCTCACTCGTTGAGCGTCGTGCACATATACATACACACATGCACGAACACAAACGAATCACGACAACGGAACCTATTCGAAATCAACATTCTATGGATTCAATTGTATTAGCGTGCGCGTATTCATTCATGCATGAATAGGAATGTGTAGTCATGCGGAATGTATGAGTATGGTATCAGCGGGACCGGTTATGGATGCAAATGCTTGCTTACTTGATTTCATTTCTTTTTCCTCTGCCTTCCTGCTGCTCTCTGAATACACACGCACACATACGTACGGGATTTCAGTGTATATTTATTGTGAATGGCAGCAACCATGGCAGCCATGTTTGTTCTTTATTGGTATTTGTACGAATTGTTCTTTTAATGGCTTCGTGCATACACACACACATACATGCACGCATACATTTGTTACCATTGCGTTTCCATTTCAGGATTTTATTTTATCACGCTTGGAATGAAAAACATGAACATTCAGCAGTTTTAAATTGAATCGAAATGATTTCGTTCATTAACCCTCGAATCACACCAACATTTTCAAATATATTTTCTTTGATTTTTGATAAAACAAGAAGAAAACTGAATACATTTTATGTTATTTTCAACTGATTTCTATGCATTATTGAGCTAAAAACAGCCTAATGAGGATTTTTATTCCATTTTTCGGGTTTTTTATGACGAATTTCGTTTTATACAAAAGATTTAGTTCAACTAGAAATTATTATTTTTTATTTAAAAACAAAATCTTCCAAATATAATTGATTTGACATTTTCCCCCGATTTTAACTATATTACTTCATAAGATGAAATAAAACTTGTAAATATGTTCCACTTCAATCGACTGATATGGGTTAGTTATTGATTTTTTACTTCGGCACACAAGATTGGTTTAATTTCAAAAATTCAGAACATGTTTCTGTGCCAAAGTTTCCACGTTTTTTTTTCTCTCTCATGAATTCAAAATATTTTATTCAAAACGAAAAGTTTGTAACAATTTTAATTTGATTCGCAAATACCGAGGTATATTCTTTTTCTGTTTCGTTTTGTATATTGACGAGCAAAATGTTGCCGTATGGAAGTTATTTCAATAAAGAATACATTTTTATAACATTTTTATGTGGGACATCATCAAGTCATGTCGTTCGGTCGAAGCGGGATTCCATAAAGTATGTGTTGCTATCGAGAAGCAAAAGTTGGGTGAAAGAATCGATGGTTCTGACCGTGTCAGCGTGTTTTGTATGTGAAATGCATAATAATTGAGTTCGATTACATGTCTCATCTCTAGTATTTTATGCCACGGCTACCACTGTGTGATGACAGTGAGTTGGGCTTTGTCTTTTCAGCCTGTTGACTTAGACCGAACCGAAACAAAATGAAGAAAAAAAAAGAATCTCTATAAAAATTCATTAAGCATACTTTGATAAATAACTCTTTTATGGGTAATTTTTATATGAGGAACATGCAATAAAAGAGTTTTCATTTAATGGTGTGTTTTGATGTGTTTTACGACGTAGTTTCATTTGATGGCTACTTATTTATCCATTGAAGTAGTCTGAACTCATCTTGTTTATTACATGCAACACTGATCCCATACATTTATATCAAACACACTGTGTTCGTGTGCATTATTTGTTTAGTAGAGGTATTTCCATTAAACTCACATTTGCGGTTCGATAATTACACTACTAATTGTTCGCCTTGTCTCGGGAAACGAATTTTATGTATATATTTTTTGTTGTTATTGTTTGTTACAATGCTTCCGTCGTGACGAGCTGCAGATATTTGAAAATGGTGCGCGCCATTTCGATCACTCTTTATTATTATTGCATTCGACCCGAGGCACAATTGATTATTGTGAATTGAAAACGTGATTCAATTGTTTCGATAGCAACATATAATCGAAATGGCGAAATAGATTGTAATTTTCTGACAAATGAACACAAAACACTCACTATAACGTGGAACGCGTGCGACTAGATTTTTTTTCAGTTTTATGTATCTTTTAATCAAAGCCATATCAAATGCCAAATTGAATGCCGCTGTCAAAGTTGACTGTTTCGTACGAATATCATAGAGTTCGAGCATGATTTCTCATTCTTTTTTCTACACATCTCGCCAATACTTTTACACATATTTCTCGACTAAATTGAACATGTTCGAGTGTGTGACACTTGGTGATAATTCATTCAATTTTATCGACTTTAATCCGTAATACTTTTTAACCTTGAACCATATTAGATTCGGTTGTCAAAATAATAAGAATGAAATCGAGTGGTGACTGTGTATCAAAAGAGAGAGAAGCATACACATTTCTGATTAGTGGATTTCTCTGAAAGCCCATTTGCATGTCGGCGGGCAATTCATGTCGCCAAGCAACTTAAATCGTGATTGCGGCATTTTTTTGCTCTTTCATTAGTTTTTCTGTGTTTTTTTTTATGTTTAATTTTTCGACTTGAAAGTATCTCAACTGATTTTTTTTTTTAAAAGGAAACACCATTTTGGCGTAATCAATATTATTTAATGAATGGTATTGTCGTTTTTAATCCAAACACAAAAATATATGAATGAAATAAAACTTAACTATTTATTACTTCTTATTTGTTTGTGAGACACTTCGAAAAATGTATTTTAAATTTTTTTTTTAATCTATTTTTATTCAGCAAAAAAAGACACAAATCTACAAATGGCTATTTCTTCAAACATACACACCACATGCACTCTACGCAAAAAAAAATGAACAAGCGAAAGCGACAGATACAAAGGAGTATGGTTGTGGTCATGTTTTTGTTCTCTCTCATTCGAATCTGACAAAAAAAAATAATATGTAAAACGTAGCCATCTCATAAAATGCTTGAATTTATGGTTCCGCAATGTGTATATGTCAGTGGTGTGTTTAATTTATGAAATGAGATACAATATGAAATACTAGAAGACAAACCTCGAAGTCAAATATACATTGGTGTGATGGTTTGTTGGTTATAGCTAAGTTGCAGTGCGCGCACGGCAAAGCACTCAATTCTAGCTCTTTAAATAGACAATTTATTCACTGGATGCATTCAAAAGATATACACGTAATTCAACGTATTTTCATTTTGTAAGTTTGTCTTATGAGTTTCGCATGCAACGGGCAAATGTTTTGCGGTTTTTTCGTTGCCGCACACAAATTAAAACCCATTGAAAAAAGGAATTAGTTTGCCAACTTTATCAATACATCATCGTAGGCATTAAATTACAAAAATTGTGTGCAAATTTGCTTTATTCGTTGATGATTATTGCAGTACGTGGGTAAATGTGCACTACAAGTCATTGGTCAATTCTATTTTTCTTTCTTTCAGCATAGCACGTTCGATGGCTTTTAATTTCAACATTTTTACACGAAGGCATGAAATAACTGAAAAACCAAATCTATTCATTGTTGAAATGGAATTTTCTTCAAATTCAAGTCGAATATGAACGGAATTTTTGGTTTGAAATTCGATTTGTTCTTTTGGCATTAAGAAAATCCCCAAACTCGGAATGGATTTCAAATCAAAGTCATCACGCACCGAAAGGAAATGGTTTTGATAAGTTTTGTGTGTAGCTCTCTGTTCGAAAATTCAGTTTTTCAATTTATCTTGGCTTGTGTTCGGTTTGATCTCGTGGATTCTTTGTTGTAAGCCCCCATTTGAGCTGCAACTTGGATAAATTTTACAACACGATGATGACGACGACGACGACAGCCCAATGTAATGCGTCCGCCATAACAACGCGTCAATGCTATCTGCTTTTAAATTTAAATATAATGTATTCATGAAAGATTTAAGATTGAGTGGGTTACGAGAAATGTTCGTTTTTCGTTTCTGTAAATATATATATATTTCCATCGAATGCACACAGCGTTCAAATTCAGAAAAGAGTCGGTGCGAAGAGCAAAGAAGTCAATGAACATCGGTTGAAATGCGTGTTTTGTGTGTGTGTGTGCGCTTGAATAAAATTTATATGCTGAAGATAACGCGTTTCATTTCAACGCACTCTCTTGCACTTACTCTCAAATTCAAAATCTCTGTCGCATCAAAAAAGGCGTTTGTTAGTTTTTGGTTTTAGGCGGTATGAAATCCTCGAGTAAGTAAATAATGCAGCCGAAAAAATGTATTTAGGGGAAAAACGATGAGAAGAAAATAATCTTCATGAAAATGTCGAATGGTTTTTCCACTGCGTCCCACATAGATCGGATATAAAATCGAATGCCGTCTAATGGAATCTACCAAAAAGTGTAAATACAGCTGGTTC